TTCTTCTAGACTGTCACAGTATGCAGCCAGTACCCTAAACTCTACACGCTATAGACCCTTAACTCTAAAACCCTAAACCCGCAACCCTAAACCCTAAACCCTAAACCTTAAACCCTAAACCCTATAGACCCTAAACTCTAAAACCCTATACCAGCATAAAGGGTAGCATAGGAAGGTTTAGGGCTGAGGATTCTCAGGATGATTGGTTTCAGGGCTACCGGAGCTATAGTCTTTGGAGGTATAGTCCTCCCTTAAGTAGATAGAATATATAGGGTTTAGGGTTTAAGGTAGGGTATAGTCCCCCCCTTAAGTAGATAGAATATATATATATATATAGTGGGTTTAGGGTCTGGGTATAGTCCCCCCCTTATGTAGATAGAATATGGGATATATCGGGATATTATTATAACGTACCCTAAGCCATATTCTATCTACTTAAAGGGGACTATAGTGTCTTACCGCAGCGAAGGTGCGCGATGTGTCCTCTAGTATGTCTTTCGTCATCCAGCTTCTTGCCCGTTAGCATGGAATTATGCCCTAAACCCTAGGCCCTCAACCCCAGCAGACTTATGGTTTAAGGGTGTAAGAGTGCACTGGACAGATTGTTTCTCATCCGTGCCCTTAGCATGACATCCCCAGACCCTAAGAAGCCCTTGTTCCTTATGGAAAAATACTTGGAGGGTCAGGGGGACTTAGTAAGTAGGTTAGGAACCCCTATAACCCATACAGAAACCTTAAATATCCCCATGATTAACCTACTTACAAAGTCCCCTGATCCTCCAAGTAGCACTTGAAGTGGCAAGGACTTCGTGACCAGCAGTTCGGCTGCAATGAGTTGGGTGCGGGTGCCATCACACCGTGCAACAAGCTGTTGCATAGAGGAGGGTGCTCTGCCCTAGTGGAGTGAAGGGCTATGCATTTAGGAATCAGTGGTTATGATTACCGTCATCCTCACCCTCCTCACCCTTTTGATCATTCAGACGTGATTAGGGTTTATGTTTATCGTTAGTTAAACGAAGCGACTGTAACTGGTGGAAAGTTCGGAAACCTTTGGAGTTGACGGCTCCAGGCACAAAAGAAAGCTTCGGGACTTAAATCGCGGGCCCAAATCTACACAATGGCGTCTGTGTAGTTCTTTTTTGGGGTTCTTATCCTTTGTTAAAATTTTATAACTACATAGGAGGTTCTAGGTATCAACGATACCTACGTTGGGCCCTGCAGACTAGGAATAGTAACCACTTTGGTCTATTTGGAGCCCCGGCGGGGTAAGCCTAAAGCCGCGAACTCTACTGTAACCCCAACCGCCTACAGCCTTATGTGTTACACCTACTGACTGTGGGGTACGGACTACCAAGCTGGAGGAAATTGGCGGGCCAAGTAGACCTCAGACCCGACCGAGTCACAGGCTATGGCAAGCTCTCACACGACTGCGATATGCTGGTTCACCTGGAGGCGCTGAATGGGTTTAGGGTTTAGGCTTTAAGATTTACGGTTTGGGTTTTTAGGTTTGGGTTGAGGATTTAAGAGTATCTGCACGGAGGACTAAAATTTCAGGATAGAGGACTTGGGGCTACGGTTCCTGTGCGCAGGGTTGCAGGCGCTTGGGATTTGGGAGCCGTTTAGGGGTAAGGCGTTTAGGGGTCAGGGTTTCTGCGGGCGGTCTGCGGGCGTGGGTTCTTGAGAGTAGGTATCGCTTCTTGGGCTCTTTCCTAAGGGACTTCATCTTCATTGCACATTGGAAGCCGCACTTTGCCACCCCTTGTACCCTTGTTATGATCGGGTTTAGGGATTTAGGGTTTAAGGACTCTGGACATGGTCAATACGGGTGAAGCTTTGTCATCATTCGATAGCTAGAGCTTTTAAGTCTCCATCAGGTTTCGGTGTGGAGGAATGCGTATTGATTTGGGCCGAATTTTGAGGCCACCGTACTGACCTCAGAAGGAATTGTGTCTCCGGATTAAACCTCTGACAAGCAGTCTTATGACAGGTGGATCTTTAACGGCCAAATCCCCTAAACCCTAAGCCCCTCAAGCCCTAAACCCTAAATCCCTACACCCCAAATGCCCTATCATTCATCTTTCAAACCCTGGACTCTACATGGCCTGAATCGGACACCTTAACAAGGCCAGCCTCCCTTTTCGCGCTACACCCTGCAGACACCACACCCTCAACGCTAGTAGTCCCACTTAAGTAGATAGAATATGGAATTGGTCGAAATCATACTTACATCCTCATATACCCCATATTCTATCTACTTGAGGGGGACTCTAAACACCCTAAAGCATATTTGGGAGGATATCATCCCAACCATTCGTGATCAGAAGGAATAATGATAGTTAGGCAGTAGTCATGCTCGGGTCGTGACGGTTTCCTTCCATTATAGTACCACTATCTAGTGGAGGGGGAGATTCGCCTTAAGACCCGAAGCCTACGCAGAGCACCACCCCAAGCCTCAAACCCTGCATCAGACAAATGATATATACTCATCTATACCCCCCTTACTACCTCCTAAGCTTCCCTAACTGCCCCCGCCTCATACCCATATACTATATGGGGATTTCCCAAAATTAGGGGTACTTTTTGGGGGTCCCCAAAATAAGGACTATAATATTTTGGGTCTATATTGGGGTCCCCCTATTTTGGGAAACTATCATATAGTAGCTTCCATTTTCTTTTCCATTATCCTAGTAGAAACCGCAATGTATTGTATAGTAGCTTCCATTTTCTTTTCCATTATCCTAATAGTAACCTATAGTACATTACCAAGTCAACTCAAAAAGGCCCTCGGGCGCCTGTCGCCTACTCTGTCGCCCCTGTGCCTAGCGCTGCGGGCCGCAGCAAAGCGCTACGCGGCACGTCCTGCGAAGGTGGCCGACTCGGCTCAGAGGGTCTCCCATGATGTAGGGTGTATATATATATATATGGGGTGTAGGGTCTAGGGTTAAGGGCATGGGGTTTAGGGTTTCGGGTATAGGGTTCAGGGTGGGATTGGGGGTTTGGAGTCAAGGTGAGGGTTTTCTGTTTAGAGCATGGTTCGCATTTTGGGCTCAGAGCGTTGCCGGGTTTTGGACACAGGGTTAAGGGGCATGGTTTCAGGCTTTGTAAGGTTCTGGCCTACATGGAGTTTAGAGCTTGAGGGGGGTTCAGGACTTTTGGGACTTTAAGGCTATAGATTGGCTGTTTTGAGTTCATAGCATTCAGGTGGTTTAAGAGTTTGGGGTTCGCAGCGAACCCTCAGCCCCAACTCAACCCCTACAAGCCCCACAGCCTGAACTCTAAAAACTAAACCCTAAACCCCCACAAGCCCGAAGCCCTGAACCCTAAGCCCAAAAGCTGCCTCAACCCTAAGCCCTCTGAGCTCTACAATGTCTGAACCCTAGGCTGTTTCTGTGGCCCCAATTACTTACATCTGAATTGTAATTATCCCAATTAAGAGTAGGTATAACCCCTAAATCTGTAGATCATTGGACTTACAGGTGAAGCCTATCCTAAAGCCCAAGCCGTCAACCCCCATGGAAGTCACCCTAAACCGCAACCACTTGCCCGTCCGCTGGATTACTTGAACTCAAGTCTGGCATGTCCAACACGGTGAGCATGATGGTGGCACTGGTCTGGGTTGCTGTTAAGGAACTTAAATTGAGCTGCTATAATAAAGAAACCCAGTGATTAATACCCATATTAAACGTAGTACAGTAACTTGCTTTATGTTCCTTGAGAGCAACCCAGGTTTTCCTGCATAGTGTCTTCCGAGAGGTGGGATTTTCGTGATCAGGACTTTTCAGGCTGCGGCTGGCTTCCACGTCCGCGCTCCTTGAAATTCAAACCTCTTGTAGCCTCGAGCAAAGAATGATAAACAAACATCTATAAGGCCTGAATCCTAGGGGTACTGTTTTCCGGGATCCCAATAATACGGATTATAGTAGTTGGGAGTCTACATTGTGGTTCCCTATTTATGGAAGTAACCATCTTAAACATAAGCCCCAGCCCCCATGGAAGTCCCCTGAACCCTAAAACCTAAACCCGCAGTTCAGGCCTTCAGCGTTCGCATCCCTTTTGGGGATCCGCGGCGCCAGCGCTTTCAGCAGCTGAGCCGGGCGCCCTTCGACTCGAGACTTTAAGGTTTAGCGGTTTAGGGTTTAGGGGTTCTGGGTTTCGAGGTTGAGGGTTTGGTTATTAAGGGTATAGGATTCCATGCTTGCGAATTCTCATCTTCAGACTCCCGAAGAGGCCCCAGAGGTAGGATGACAGCGGCTTTAAAACCTAAACCCCGGACGTACCTAAGAGCCCAAGAAGCCGCGGACGGCCCCAGACCCTAAACCCTAAACGCTCTAGACCTCAAACCCTAAACCCTAAACTCTGAACACCCTAAACCCTAAACACCCTAAACCCTAAGCACCCTAGACAGCAAGCCCAAAAACCCTCAGGGATGACAATGGCAAGTATGTTTGAGCCAACCTTGTGCAAGCGCGTGCGCTGCAAATGCAGCCACATATGAGCTAGAGGGTAAAGTCCTAGTACCCCCCTATAAACTCCCTGTAACAGTCCCCGATATTACCCCCTTCAAGGAGTTCAGACTATAGCTCACATATGAATCTCCACCCTGGCGCGAGAGCAGAGAACCGGCGCAACGTAACCTTTGCCTACGCTGTATATGTCATCATCCTGTTTTCTAAGCCTTGGATGATGATTGCTCAAAACTAGCCATTTGCGCAGGTTGCCCTAAACCTACGCTTGAAACAAGACGTTCGGGTGCACGGCCAGAGCAAAAAAAACACATTTGTTGCAGACTCTGCTTGGGTTTAGGGATCCTTTCTCGGAGGGGTAAGGCGTGAAACCTGGGTTTAGGGTTGGAGATTCGGGCTCGGGGTCTCAAGATTCGGGTTTTGGATTTAGGATTGAGGTCTGCGAGGAGATTGGCACCTTAACAGCAACCCAGTAGCTGCTGAACTCTTTCTGTCTTGCCAACCCCAGCTTGGCTGCACACCCGAAAACTGACTGAGGCTTTGGGTGCCCAAAGCTCCGCGACTGCCAGGCAGGGTGAGCAATAATCCTGCAGGGTGCACGATGGACTATGCTGAAATGCCTGAACTAAAAACCCCAAGCCCTAAACCTTGAGCCTAAGCCCTAAACCCCAAGCCCTAAACCCAAGAAGGAAATATCACCACTCCATTATTGTGCAAACTGATCCTGCAGACTGAGTAAGGAGCCCCATGCACGTCGTGCAGGTGTAAGAGCCCATGCGGTTGTAGGGGCCAAGGGGGCTTTTGAGTCTAGTACCTCAGTGGTTGAACCCTGCCGGAATTGTTTTCGTTTGTGCAGGGCTTCGGACACACTCAGCAGGGAACGCGACAGCCCGTACTTGACAGCTTCGCATGCCGATGATGTTTCTTGGGGATAACGGAAGGAAAGTTAGCTCTGGGCTCCTGGGCTCCCGATCCCTTCTCTTGAAAGCAAGCTCATGTATACCAGGACAGTTCCCAAGATGTTGCGGCAAGTCTTCGCTCCTTGGACAGGCCCCCAACAAACTCAAATCTCAGCGAAAAGGATCTGCAAGCTTCACTTTAATGATCTTGGAACGTGGCAATGATTCAAAGATACTTTTTCACGCGTTGCTGCGGTGGTGCATGTCAGCTCATGCAAGATACATGCACATAAGTTATATATACATGTAAGATTATATATAGTAGTTTCCCGAAGGACACTACCGTATATTGAATATGACGAATCAGTCCCCTATGGCATCGTCCAAAATAGGCCCTCTGGTTAACGGGGAACTCGCACCACCTTTGAAAGCAAAGCTTTAACAGCCGCGCCACATCTTCAACAAATCCCGCCACCACGTTGAAAACCTTCAACAGTAAACCCCAGACCCTTTGAGTTCCGCTGCTTCAACTTGCAGATACCGTTGCACATCGTGATCAACCCTGAGCCTGTGCTATGAGTAGTTGAAACCCGTAGCCCTACATAGCCTAAAAATAACCTCAAACCCCAATGCGGCCTAAAGCAACCCAAACCCATTTCAAGAAGAAGGTAAGCAACAGCGCAAAGCGAGACTCAAAGGCCCATTGCTGTCACCGCATGTTGCGAACACGGCCCTCGATGCCTTTGGCCATGCTGTGGTGGATGAGGCCCGGCATTTGGGGCAGTTTCTGCAAATCCGGACCACTTGTGTGCCCCAAACTAGCATTTCTTCCTCATTCAAGCCCCTTCCCCTCCCAACAAGGGACATGATGTGAGATATCTTCGCTTATGTTTGGCAGCAGAGTCGGCTGAGATACTGTGTACTCTTCAGGCTTTAGCATTGATGGTCTAGGGTTAGGGAGCGTAGCATCTACAAACTGTTGGGTGTGGTTTGTAAAGCCTTCGGAGCCCCTTAACCTGCAAAGTGTTACGCTGTTCTTCGACCGGTTGGTACAAGCTTCTGGTTTAGGGCTTAGGTTTAGTGTCAGCCAGGAACATACAACATAGGGAATTGGTTTTCTAGCGCTGGTAGCCTCCTATGAATACAGGGCAAGTATTCAAGGTTGAGGAGTTGATGCTCAGAGCTTTGGATTGAGGATGAGGATGCAGTCGGGGTCAAAAGTCCAGAGTTCGGTCAACCTTCAAACCTTAAACTATTTGGGGTTTAGGGTGAATCCCCCCTAGACTCGGCTTTGAGCCCAAATCCTAAGCGCTAAATCCTAAACCCTAAACTCAACACTGAAGCTTTGACCAGGCAATCGTCCCTTGAGCTCCAGGGACCCATGATAAGCCTCGAACTTCCCGTCTGCCCTGACCGTATCCTTGTAGAGTCCCGATGATTCATGACAACAATCCCCTATACCTTAGGGCCAGGGTTGAGGGTTTAGAGATTTGGGGCTCCAAATCTCAAATCCTACTGGTGAGCCCTTTGGTTGTTGTGCGAAATTCTCAGGTGTTATCGTCTTCTGCGCTATCTGCGCTTTCGAGGCAGCTGCAAGAAGCCACCATGCGCCCAGCCAGGAAATCACACCTTACACAGAGGGTCTACAAGAAAATCTATAGGAGCGCCACTAGGCGTTCTTTAGAAACCACATGCGGAGTCTGTTTCTGGGTCTTGGGTCACGGGTCCTTGTAGATAGGGTATCCCCGAGGTCCCTCGAGTTTGAAGGCCTACCATTATTGTGAGTGTGGGTTTCCTTCTTTGGGAGTTCCCAGAATAGCATTTGTTAAGCAAACTTTGGGCAGGGTATGTTACTGTAGGGCACCGCCATTGTGAAAGCACTTGGAAGCTTGCGGTGGTTATCTAGGACTCTCGCGGTCACCATATCTGTCTGTCCCTGGCTATGCCGCATTCACCCTTCATACTGATCATCGATGCCGTGGAACGACCAACTTTTGCCCTAGACCCTAGACTGGGTTGCTGCTAAGGAACTTGAATTAAGTTACCGAAAATGGCATTTATAGGGGTTCCCCAATATGGCAACTTGAGCTAAGTTCCTCAACAGCAACCCAAACCTTAATTTTTAGAAGGATTCGCCTAGGTGCGCCAGCGCAGCTAGGAATTCAAAAGCTGGTTCGACAGCAGGTTGGCAAATTCATGAGGGAAATCCAACCACGGAGGCCGCAAAGACGTTTAAATAAATTGAAGCAATAACAGCACAGCGAGGTTTAAGTAAATTGAAGCAAGGACCCCACAAAAGGAAACTAGCTCCAGAAGGTACAAAGAGCCAAAATTTGGCTCAGAAAGGCCAAATTTTGGTCAACAACTCCAACCGCCAAAAAAGCCAAAAATTTGGCTCGCAATGCCCAAAATTTGGCTCCAAAAGCACAAAAAACAACAAATTTGGCTCCAAAAAACGCAATAATTAGCTTTACAAGGTCACAACCACAATTTGGTTCCAACATACAAAGCAGAAAGGCTAACACAATGCACAAAAAGCCTAAAATTTGGCTTGCAAAGGCACACAGAAAGTCTAAAACTTGGTTCCAAAAACAAAAAACACAACATTTGGCTCCCAAAGGCACAGAAAGTCAACAATGTTGCTTTAAACGGTCACCAGAAAAATTGGCTTCAAGATGCACAAGGATCAGAATAGGCACAGAGAAGGCCCACACGAGGCCCAGAAGAGGTTCAGAAGAAGCCCAGAAGAGACCCAGAACAGGCCCAGAAGAGGTCCAGAAGAGGCCCGGTGCATGGAGGAGTCTTGAAGGAAGGAGTCTTGGTGGCTTTAGGGTTTAGGGATCATCCCTATAACTCCCCAATTGGCGGGGGCGCCTGCTGCGCTGGCGGACCCTAAACCCTAAACCCAGTAGACCTTCAATGAGGTACTTCCACCTAGAGGCCACAGGAAGCTACTTGGTCGCGCTCTGGGAGGACTGGGGGATGAGAAGCTCAAACTCTGCCTGTTGAGGTTTAGGGACTTGGGTTTAGGGTTCATAGAATTTAGGGTCTAGGGTTTAGGGTTTAGGGTTCAAGGTTTAGGCTTCATAGGGTTTAGGAGTTAGGGTTCGGGTTTCCACCTAAAGGCTGATGTAGCTTAGTAGGGGTTTTCGTGAGGCTTGTGATATCACATTCCCAAAGCTCTACCTGAACCTTACTAAACCCCTATAAACCCCAAACCTGAACCCCCATGAAGCCTAACCCTAAACCCTGTGGACCCAAAACCCGAAACCCCCTAAGCCCTAAACCCATAGCCCTATAAAACCTAAACTCTATAAACCCTGAATCCTAAACCCCCTCAGCCCTAACCCCCCCTAACCCTATAGACCTTCTAAAACCTAAACCCCAAACCCCTTCAAAAAAGCTCAGAGGATGGTCTGGCGTCGCCTCTACTGGGGCAGGTCGTAGAGGAGCTCCTCCAGGCTCGCAGGGGCGCCTCAAACCCGGAAACTCCAAATTGGGGGTTTCCCAAAATTAGGGGTACTTTATTGGGGTTCCCCATAGTAAGGATTATAGTATATTTGGGTTTATATTAGGGTCCGCTTATTTTGGAAAACTACCAAATACTGAACCCCTGAAACCCTGAACCCTTAACCCTTCACCTGGTCAATCCTTGACCCAAGAAGGGTTTAGGGTTTAAGGGTTCTAAACCCAAAATCCTCCAAATCCTGACCCCTAAAGTCTTAGACCCTGGAGGTCCTAAACCCCAAATCCTAAACCCCAGGCCCCAAATCCCAAGATTCTCAGTCCTCCATCCTATAGATTATCAACCCTTGGGTTTGGGGTGCATGGTTTAGGGTTTAAGATTCGGGGTTTAGCCCAAAGCCAAGTCAGGGTAGGAGCCGAGCCTCCGCATGCTAGCCCCCAAGACCAAATCAGCTAAAGTCTAAACTCCTTCAGGGAGGTTACAGACGGGGTTACATAGGGGATTACGTGGGGAATATTCAGGGGGATGCTAGGACTTTTGAGTATAGCTCAAATAATCTTGCCCCTTCTAACTCATTGACTTTAAGCTGACTCATAGAGCCCACTCGTTAAGGACTGCGGTCTTCAAACCTAAAACCTAACTCTAAACTCCAGATCCTAAAGCCTAAGCTCTGAACTCTACATCCTAAACACTAAACCCTAAATCCTAAACTCTAGACCTTGATCCAAAAACCTATACCCCAAAACCTAAACCATGACAATCTGGGTTGCTGTTAAGGAACTTAAATTAAGTTCCTATATTGGAGAAACCCTATTATTAACTATATATACCCATTATGG